AAAAAAAAAAAAAATGCCAGTACAGTGGAAATTACGTTTTACAACGCGTACAGCTTCGATTTATATCCTTTTACACGACTTCCGGCACGATTTAAATTTATGCGCGCGCTTCCCAAAATGACTATTACGTTCCGGCTGATTTGAAAAGAAATTGAAAGGTGGTTTCAGGATGTCGTTTCGTCCGTGTAGGTAAAATTTGATCGGAAGAGAAAACAGGAACAACGCGACGCTTTAAAAATTGTATCACGAGTAGATATTTTGCGTAACGATGAAAATTATGCGCAGCAATTGCGTTGAGCAGTGGAATTAGATACGCTAGATGATTTCGAATAAGGTAATGATCTTCGAAGACGAAAGTCACTTTCATCCTCAACGACAACGTGACCCTTTACACACGTCAACGCAACCCTATTGATTCTATGATTTACACGTACTATATACATATATATTACTTTTAACAAACGTTTACGTGAAGAGTAATAAGCGTTCAATGAGTATTTAAAAATATTCAGTGTACGATATCAAATTATTTATACATGAAGAGTAACAAAGTTACAAGTGTCATTTATCTCGTTCGCTAAATGACTGAAATTCAAATAATAATGAAATAATATCACCATCGAGTATTACTTATTCACCTTCCAATACTATTTCATTGAATTAGTAAAAACAGGTAAAAAGATCGTGACACGATGTTTTGCAATCGATGTTTTTTCTTTATATAATGTTAGAATTCTCTGTTAATCAACTAAATTTGAAATAATTTGTTCTATCGCTAATTAATTACGAATTATCTCACTGATTTTTGTTACAACAAATTTTTATATTATCGACTGTGTTCTAAACATTTGTCACGAAGATTTGATTTGAAAAGATTCGTGAAAATAATGACACACCAAAACCACTGAGTAAAACTAAAAAAAACTTACCATTACGACAACCAATCGTCTTGGCACGCAGTTGACTACTGACTGAACGACTAAGGCCTACTTTCCAACTCTCTCTATCTCACCCGTTTATTTCACCTCGGCTGTCCTCCTGCACCCGGCTTCATCTCTACATATCTCCCCTGCAGGTGAACACTGTCACTTGTCCTTTCCATCTGCTTTTTCGTACTATAAACAATAACCAAGGAATAATGCACAGGTTGTCTTTTTTTGTTACTGATACGAAGTAGAAAGGCTGACGCGATCTTTCAAGTTCAAGGAGAAAGAAAGTAGCGAGCGAAACCGGTTGTTTATTTCTACAATTCGGGATGAATGAATATTCTGAATCTCATACGTGAATGTCATACGTGAGTTCGTGCACGATTAATTTAGACGTCGTGACTCTTACAATTTAGCGAAAGACTTTTTACGAAATTATTTCGTGCAGGACTTACTAGACTTATCATTTGATTTTGTATTCCCTAGTTATTAGTACTTTTTTTAGTTTTACTATTGTATTTGAGATAGTAAAGTAGTTGACTGACTCTTTTCGAAATAATTAATCACCATTTATCACAGACAAGGTCTATGTATATATATGTATTTGTTTAACGCGAAACATATTCTCCATGTTGTTTAGAAATTCAAATTATATTATGTTAAATCAATAAACAATT